ATGTAAAATTGTGGTGTTGAATGCTCCATGTCTCCATCTGTTTCAATTTGTTTGTCTGGTTTTGACTTGAGTCGGAGTTATTGCAACAGAGGTAGTATCAGCTATGAGCTACCTCTTCACTCCGAAGAAAAAAACACTCAATAGCAAAAACTATTAACTTTTCATGAAAGGGAAATCTAATGCAATGTTTCTCTGGTGATTTCTCTTCTTCAGGTATGCGCGGTTTTTCTATGATCTTATGTGTATAATATAGTCAGAATATCATCAAGTAAGAGCCCCGAAGAGGTTGAAGTTGTTAACGATTCCTCCATAAGTAAATCTGCCAGAGAAAGCTCCATAGCAGAACTCGGGGTCTCTACGGAGCCACTGCTTCAGACAAATGACTTAGCATTATCAGAGCACCAATCTGAACAACTTGCATTGCCCTCTACTAGATTTGACGATAAATCTCAGGTTGATTATGGATCACATTTCAATCATGCATACTTGAAACTAACTAGTCCCTCCGTTTCAATCTGTTTGTCTTACTTTCATTTTGTTTTTTTCCTTTTTTAACAACTCTTTAATTTCAACTTTCCACGTGACATAATGAGTGATCATTTAAGACAAGTGTGCTTTGAATTTTGATCTCTGAGTTCCTGTAACAGGTTTCACTATGGACTAAATCGAGACAGTACATGGGAGTGCTTTCAAAGAAGATGAACCTGAAGAAATTATTAGCCCCTTCTACCTGCGGAGCGGTATTCTCCCACTGTTATTCTATCTGTGTTCTGAACTACTTTGTATTGCGTGATTGTGTTAGTTCGTATCTAGGACGTGTAATTTGTTGGATGTTTCCGTCAATATGAAAGGGAATTCAGGGTTCGTCTTGTTTACGATCTAGTTATTGTGAGATCAGTAGTATTGACTATTGGCCTTGTATAGATTGCAGGTTTTGTTGTTGGACTTATACCTCAGATCAGAAATGCAGTTATAGGTGATGCAGCTCCTCTTCATGTGATTCAAGATACAGCTTTGATACTTGGGTATGAGACTCTCTTAACTTGTTTAAATAAACTAGCAGAAGGCAGTTTTCGTATCTTAATGCACATATTTAATTTATTCGGAGCTATTAGAGCAGGATCCACTTTTTGGTGAATATGAGTCAAAGCAATAACAAGAACATTTCTAGTAGAACATCTTTCACAATCCCTGGAGAAATGGTTCACTAATAGGCCGAGTTATGAGTCATTCGACTCATTCACATTCAGATTATGAATGTATAAAACAAACACTCAGACTTGGCCTCAACTTAGCAAGTACTATGTACTCCAACTTTGAAAGTGTAAATCTACACATCTCAACTCGTCTCCACTGTGTTAGTTGAACATTTTGAATCCATTGTGCCAAAAATTAGCTTAACCACTTGGAAAGATAGGATGTTTGAACTGAAAAAGGAAAAGTTCAGTGACATAATTAAACAACATAATTTATAAACAAACACTTCAACTTGGCTTCAGCTGACAAGTAAGCACTCGAGCTTTGAGAGTGCATATCTAGACACTTCAACTTGGTCTAAACTCTCAACTGACAACTATATACTCCAACTCATTCTCATTTTGTGTCTAGATGATCATTTTGTAAGTTGAAGTATTCAACTGACAGAGTGAAAACGAGTTGAGGTATCTAGATGTGCATTCTTACTTGCCAACAAAGGTCAAGTTTGAGTGTGTTCACTTAAATTGTCAACCCTTTTGTCTGGTTGAAGAAATTGATATTTACATTTCATCAATGACTGCAGAGATGGAGCTGTTCCGCTTCTAACGCTGATCATGGGAGGTAACCTTTTAAAAGGTTTGAGGGTCTCAGTAGTTCCGAAATCTATTCTTGCTGGCATTATCGTTGTCAAATACATTGCGATGCCTGTGATTGGTATTGGTGTTGTCAAAGGTGCTTCTTGGTTAGGCTTGGTACATGATGATCCATTGTATAAGTTTGTTCTTTTACTTCATTTTGCACTTCCACCAGCAATGAACATTGGTAAGTTGATTCAACAAGTTATGCTTTTGTTCTATTATCATTTTTATTCGAGTTAATGGTGAAAAATACACCTAAAGTATCTGAGTTTTTGAGTTTCAAAACCTAACTGAACTATCAGGTGTGTGAGTTTCCTAGCTGAAATATCATAACCGTTCAGGTAGGAAAAATGAACAATTGATGGTTGAGGTGTGTTTTGAGGAATAGTTAGTGATAGTTCAAGTAGAAAACTCACACACTTGATAGTTCACGTATGAAACTAAAAGTATCGGGATACTTTGGGTGTGTTTTTTGACCCTTCACTCTATTTCTGATAGACCTTCGACTCAAATAAAGCATATAAAAAATTGTATGAAAACAAAATATAGTATCCAATATAAAAAATCAAGCAGAGATTGTTATTTCTTTGTGTATATATCAGTTCATCATCTGTTAATGAACGTATCGTTTGCTTCGTCTTGCTCAATTACGTATAGTTGTTATAGAGAGATTTGACTGTTTACGTGAACGCGGTTTTATTTGCAGCAACCATAACACAGTTGTTTGGAGCTGGTGAGAGCGAGTGTTCAGTGATTATAGTTGTGGACTTATGCATTGGCTTCAGCAGCACTTACACTATGGACAGCATTCTTCATGTGGCTTGTATCATGAGCACACTATTTCTAGAGGAAAAACGCCAAACTCCACGTGTGAGATTATACTGGATATGTTATTATTGTTTGAGAAAAAACAGAGATTAGAAATGAATTAAATGACTAGGAGAAAAAATGATGGTTCTACTTATGTACAATAAGGATTTGCACCCCAAAAATGGGAAATATGTATCGGTTGTTTACATCGAATCAATCTAATTTACCATGGTTAAGCGATTTAAGTTATATTTCTGTAATTATGCTTGCCTTTTCAAACATCTAAAAATATTCAATTAGTAAATCAACTACTCCATATCCAATACATGCTATTAAAATGTCATCAATGAGTTTCTCTTCTATAGCTGGAAAATTTACAAAGAAAAGTTATTAAAAACAATTTTTTATCTCAAAAAATTAAATTTAAAATTGTTCTGTCCATTCAGCAGCTATAACGTTGATTCTGTCGAAAAGCTGTAATTAGAAAAAAGAAAATAGAATTAATAATGTAATTTACAATAACATATCTAGTGTAATCTTACTAGGTGATATCCGAGGGTAGAGTTTACGCGGACTTCACTCTCCATGACAATGCTTGATATGAAGTGGTACTAGTACTTAAAACACAATATTACTCAGTTGAGAATGTGGGGAATGATAGAAAAACCGAATGGATGATAAAACCAGACTTAGTTCACATGGCACAGGGCTCGAACTAGGTCACAAGTCCCTCAACCTTCGCCACTTGAACTAAGCCCTCGGGTGGGATGCAGATTAAAGATTTCAATATACTCGCAAAATGATTCTACTGCTTTCACAGATGTAAAAGGCCAAGCATAGAGGATATCAATGCAACTTTCTTTCCAATACAACAACAACATACCCCGTATATTCCCACAAGTGGGGTCTGGGGAGGGTGGACGTACACAGACGTTACCCCTACAACCAACCTTTGTGGGGTAGAGAGGCTGGCTAATGCAACTTTCTTCCTAATAGCTAAAGGATTCAATCAGAGAAAAGCCAGAAATGGAAAATGATGAATTGCTCCCCTCCATTACATGTAAAAGTAAACAAGACATCCACTTCATTCTAGTACGAAAAGGGGGCCGATCAAGTTGTAGGGGTATCGAATCAATACTTTACTTACCACATATTCAAGCAAGCCACATACTTAGTTACGCAACTTGAATGCATACAAACTAGCAGATAACAACTACGATTCGATCCCAAACAAGTTATGATCAGCTATGAGTCCTCCTTGACCGTGTCACTCCGTTTAAGCTTGAATGTGTACAAACTAGACTAGTAAGAAATTAAAAAGATTTTATACCACCAGAAATAGTTAACCAATAAAATAATCATCAACATATACTTACCACATGGTTAATTAACCTGGTTCTACCTAATAAAACTCTCCCTCTTTTTACTTACCAAAATTTAATTAACTTGGTTCTATGGTTTCGCAGTTAGAACTCGAGACTTTGGATACATCGACTTGACTCCTTGTAGACTGTATCAATCAATATTACCACACCACAATCCTCATTGACCATGTCGCTCCATTTAAGCTTGAACGTATACAAAATTAACAAGATTTTATACCACCGGGAAACAAGTAAGCATTAAAATGATCATCACAACATATACTTTCATAAACAAAATGGGGTAAAATATGGTTTTAAGATCAATCTATGTTACATTATGATCAAATTCTGTACAGTACCAAAAGGGAGATTGTCTCACCGGCATAGAAGAGCTACAACACACATCCAACCTATCACGAAATTGCGATTCATGGGACTTCAACATCACAGGCAATGACAAGCACACACCTTTCTCAACACACATCATATACCTTGGCTTTATCCTATTCTCTAAGCTAAACGAGAAATATTTTGAATGTATACAAACTAGCAAATAACAACTACGTTCCAAGCAAGTTGTGGTCACCTATGAATCCTTATTGACCATGTCGCTCCATTTAAGCTTGAACGTATACAAAATTAACAAGATTTTATACCACCGGGAAACAAGTAAGCATTAAAATGATCATCACAACATATACTTTCATAAACAAAATGGGGTAAAATATGGTTTTAAGATCAATCTATGTTACATTATGATCAAATTCTGTACAGTACCAAAAGGGAGATTGTCTCACCGGCATAGAAGAGCTACAACAAACTTCCAGCCTATCACGAAATCGCGATTCATGGGACTTCAACATCACAGGCAATGACAAGCACACACCTTTCTCAACACACATCATATACCTTGGCTTTATCCTATTCTCTAAGCTAAACGAGAAATATTTTGAATGTATACAAACTAGCAAATAACAACTACGTTCCAAGCAAGTTGTGGTCACCTATGAATCCTTATTGACCATGTCGCTCCATTTAAGCTTGAATGTATACGAAATTAACAAGATTTTACACCACCAGGAAACAGATAACCGATAAAATGATCATCAAACATAAAAATTTTATAAACAAAATGGGGCAAAAATATGGTTTTAACTTCAATCTATGTTACATTATGATCAAATTTTGTACAATACCAAAAGGGAGATTGTCTCACCGGCATAGAAGAGCTACAACAAACTTCCAGCCTATCACGAAATCGCGATTCATGGGACTTCAACATCACAGGCAATGACAAGCATACACCTTTCTCAACACACATCATATGCCTTGGCTTTATCCTCTTCTCTAAACTAAACGAGAAATACTGAGGAAACACATTCAATTCCATCATCTCCCTCCCCATTTCCACCACAAAGTAATCGAATTTCGGCTCCAAATTCTCCTCTATACTGTAACAAAACAACGAAGGAAACCTCCGAAACATCACTTTCGCATCTCTCCTAGAAAACCCAATTCTCTGAAAGTAATCCAATCGCGGTATAAACTTGGTCTCCACAGAACAAGATAGCAAACTCGTACATTTTGAAACATCTTCGATACCAATACTACTCTGTAAAAAGTAAAGGGTCGGTCGGAGATGCTTGTCTACACACTTTGTGAGTAGCCGGGGTCGTCGACGGAGAACACCCGGAAGATTTTCTCCGGTGACATGAACTTCCCGGAGCAAAAAAGTGACGGCAGGTCTAAGGGTGGTGGAAATTGGAGCTGTTAAAATCTCCGGGCACATATGTAAAACTCTCCGAACATCAAGAATGGTGAGGTTAAGGGAATAAAGGAAGTGAATAACTGATTTGAGATGAGATAAAGAGGAAGAAATGATAAATGGTTGTGAAGTCAGGCAATGTAAAGAGTCTATGCCAAGAGAATCCAAAAAAAGAAGTTTTTCATGGAGATGGGAGTTTTTGGGGGTGGGGGTGGGGGTA